ACTCATTTTCTACAATATTGTTCTTGATATATAAAAATATACATCGTGATCTCATATGTACGTACATTCTCTAATATATAATTAATAGCTCTGTTATATAACATTGAGGTCTATTTTTATAAAACATGAGAAATATATATATATATATATATATATATATATATATGTACGCAAGTATATGTATATATACTTATTTTTTATCATACGCATATCTCTGCCTTTTCTTTCTTCCTTTCTCTCTCTCTTTATATATATATATATATATATATATATATATATATATATATATATATATATATATATATTTTTGAAAATTAAACTTTCTATTATATTAAATACAAACAAACAATCCATTCCGAGTTAACAGTAAATATATTCCATCGTAGGAAATTGCTAAATGTACAGCCGAAAGCGCTTGGAATAATAAAACATTTGGGCAGTTTTTGTATCATGTATCTACTGAAAATTTAAAAACTTCTAAAATCATTTGAGAAATTATATAAAGAATATAACTAAAGCACCTTGTCCTTCATGTTAAATGAAGTTTGAATGAAAGAAGGATTACTACCTAAATACACAATATATATATATATATATATATATATATATATAAAAGTACATTTTACAGGTACTCCAACGAAAGTTAACCACATAATCACTTTGCGTTAATTGAAGCAATCTCGTGTTTGCGGCATTTTGATCCTAATTGCATAACACCTATCTAAGTCAGTGATTCGATCATTCACACAGTCGTCACTGTTATTTGGCCACTGGTTATTCGGACAGTCTGGGGTCAGTTAGCAATTAACAGTCTTCCACAGTGGCTAGCTGAAGTGAGCAATGCGAAGTAGTGTTAACTTGGCCTCTACCTCAGCAAAACTGCTTGTCAGATTTTAACCGAGTCCGGCTGCACACTCGTGTGCTCGGAGTTGATTAGGCATTTTGTATGAAGATAAAACCTTACCCATCGTTCAAATCTTTATGCTCCCTCTCCAAATATGTCGATAAAAACGTTAAAAATTGATGGAAGAAATTTATGCAAATTCTAATCCTGACCAACACGATATCCAGTATGGTTTATATTTTACAAACATTTTTGGATACTTTGTAAATCGAGTTCACCTCATGCACGACATTAATGACACTAAGATAAAAAGTGTTCCTTGGTGTGGAACGATCAGAAAGAGAAATGATACTAATGAGCGAAAATACGAAGAGTAACCAGGACGACAATTGCTAGTGATTGAATTTACATTTAAATCTATGAAGATTAAAGATGGCTGGACATCAAGACAGGTCCACAAGTGGGAAGTGTCAATAAAAATACTGTTAGCATAGAACTTACGGTTAGTCCTGAGTAGATATAATCAGGCCTAATTTTAAGCGATGAGATCTCGATGCCAGTCTAGGACTGCGCTTAAATTCAAAAGGTCTAGGTGCCATAGCGAAGAGTTCATCCGAACAATTACATTGAAATCATTTATAGGAAAGACGTAGGGAGTCAAGCATACGGATGTGGGGACGTTATTGAATCTGAGGCGCCAGATAAGGGCTGACAATATTTCTGCCTCTTCTTTGGATTTTTATCAGGGCAGAACGGACAGAAATAACAAGAACATCGGCCAATATGCGACAGAAATATTCTAAGTATGGACTAATGGTAGGAGGGATTCTGAAGAGAAAAATTGTCTCTAACGACACTGAACAAACTTCCTTACCCGCTGACCTAGCAATGAATTGATTTAATATAGTTTTCTCACCTCATGTCAGTGGAGAACCTTAGCCTGAGGAAGCGCAAATAATCACTATATTGGAGGATAACATTAGCCATGCTGATGGAAGGCAGAGAGGTGTCCCTCAAATGAATAATGGAAGGCAATTCTGACAGGTTTTTCATCGTCCACTTGTTTCTCGCCCTTTTTCTCTCTCTCCACATATATTTATATATATATGTAATATTTCAGATATAATTAAAATACATATCTGTAAATGGATGATATGAATAAACACGAAATGACGATTTATCTTAGCCAAAGCGTTTACTTAATTTTACATGTAAACACTTAATTATATCATTTATAATGGTCCATGATTTACCCCGAATTTCTGTTATGTGCGTTCATAAATTTAAAATAATCAACCTCACGATGTTTTATTTTGCTTATAAGTAATTGTTTCAAAATAAATCCTTATATTTCCCTGGATAAAATCCGTCTAAATTGTATTATCTTTACTTTTATTATCACTAATCTTCAGCCTTGTCCTCCGGCCTTCATTAGATGTATTTCCATCTGGCTAATCTTGGAGCAATTTCGTACTTAAGACCCGATTTAATCTACAATCTTTTACAGTCCTTGCTCAGCTGGGCATGTCCAGAGATATTCAGATTTTGTTCTCTTTCAGTCATTGCTAGTTTTGATTCCACAGATTCTGAGATTTGATATTTATTCTAGGGATTGAACTCGCAATTACTATTTCCCCACATCACAACACTTTATTTTCTAGGCAATTGAACACAATACGCTGATTAAACAGAGATGTCAATTCGAATTTCCTGAAGTTTAACCAGATGAAAGACACCTGTGAATGACTGGACACTGAAATGGCGGGATCCAATAATAAAAACAATAAAGATGATGATATTCATCTGAATTTTAATGTTGAAAATAATAAAACTAAAACTGAGATGTCTGATAACTGCTTTATTAATTTTGTTTTTATGTCTTATCAACCTGTTGCAGGTTATTAACAGTCACAAAAGTTCTACTAATTATCCAGCTGGGAGATAATTCATAGATTTCTCAAGGGTATTTGCGCGTAGGTGAATATAGCGAACCGAATTGGTATTTCAACTTATGTCTCTGATTTCTAATTCCGAAACTTTATCCATTACATGCACATCTATGCTTATAGTACCTGTGCAGTGTCCTAATAAACATAGTATCAACAGCAGAACTGGTGTATAAAAACATTACGAAGACTTAAATTGACCCAATTCCTGTTTTCCTGCTTTCGAAGTGTGTGACATGAAATTTTTATACTCATACAAACGGGGTGTGTGCGCTTCACACTTCTAAACACCTACACAGGCAAGTCATACTCATAAATATCCATTAGCATTTATTTGTGTATGCAGTTTACTCCTAAGAAAATAAGCTCATGTCTTAAAATTTCCTTTTGCTAATTTTGTTTTAATATTTGTTATCTTGAATTGCAAATCAATCAGTTTCGTCTATTTTGTTTATGTACATTTTCACCAACATTATTTCAAGTAAAACAAAAATATTATCGCAATAAACTTTGCACATGAATTGTAGAAGTAGCCAACACATTAAACTATGTTCGAACAATGTTTCCCGTTCTTCATTTTCGGTGATCGTAAAAGAAACAGTGTTTGAACCTATTATGGCTGTAAGCACTTTTGTGATAACAGCAACAAAGATGTACGTCTATAGTCCTGATGTAAATACTATATATAATGCTAAATTATTATCCATGAAATTCAGGCAGAAATGATAATTGTTAGCCTAGCATATAAATAAATATACGAACTGACAACTAAGATTAGAATGTATTTATATATACACAGTCTTTATTCATTTTCTCTATTGAGAGGTCTTACTCCGAGTAAGACCTCCCATAGAAGCGAAAATGATTAAGAACTGTGTGTACGCCATCCCATGCAGCTGTGGTAAGAAATATAAAAGAGAAACCGGCCTTCTCCTTATGATAAGAATACACAGCCGAAACAAACGGGGAAATAGAAAAACAGACGTAGCTGGCCATATATGGAGGGGAAATTGTCCAGCGGGTAAAAGCGTTAGTTGGAGTAATCCAGTGACGTGACTCATGGAGCGGTGAGTTCAATACCTGGCTATCACAGAGATGAATAATAATATTTAGAGTTCAGTTAAAGGGAAATAACTAATACTGATATATCTGGAAGAGGCATGGTACGTGGAACTAGAACAATCTAACCTGGTGGACGAAATAAAAGTTTCAGTTCGAAATTCCAATCAAGTGAAGAAGTCTGAAGCGTACGACGGTCGGAACATCGTGAATATGTCTACAAACGTCATGACAACAGTCCGAACATTGTAAATAGTGTAAATATTTATAATACCTCATCTCAGAAATAGAGACAGATATTAGACTGTATGTAATAAAACAGTGAAAGATGTGAGATAAGCGAAGAGACTTAGTTAAGAAATTAAAGTCAACATCATGTGAATTACCATTTTTACATAAAATACGGCATCAGACCGTTTAAGCGGCATAAACCAGGAGGGGGCAAACAAATATATAGGGCATGAGTTTGTGTAAAGCCATGGATGTTAAGGATAGTTGTCCGAATAAGTAATTGCTTTATTTCTGTCTCGTTCCTAACTTTTCGTTGTTGGGATTGGCGATATTGGATTATTTTCTAAATCCTCTTAAACTTGCACAGCCAAAACGTCCATTATTGCAGAGGAGCCATATCATTTAGCCAGTCAGGAAAATAATTTCCCTAGGGCACTGATAAACCTTAATCCTATGCAATTTTACGAGTGCATATAAGGTGATAGATCAAGGAATTCCTTTATTGCAATAATCTGATAGATATGTTCCAACACTAATTTCGTAAATCCCAAAGTAAATGAGTGTGTTGGAATTTGGCATAAGTAAAAATAAATATCTACTGATTGAGATGCATATTGGAGGATGGTCTTATGAAGATCGTTAGGAATTCCCTTGAAGACAATTTCTAATTTAGGTGTCCAGATATTGCTCCAAGAATCGTGGCCTTTTGCCAGAAAATTAGAGCTTATTAAATACCTCTTTGCGAATCACGAATTTATATCCAATAAAGATTTCTTTATTTATCGAGATTATATATGAAAAAAATAAAGAATCATTTCGACATGTTTATATTTTTCTCTGTTCTATGGTTCTCATTCTCAAATTTAATTACAAAAAATGTCGTGGATCTTATGAACTAAGAATATCAAGGATCTCGCCAAATGTCATGCTTTTATTGCTTATGGCGCATAACCAGCAGAAGGTCAGTTGTCCAAATAATGGCTTGTCAGAGAATGGACATATGCAATATGCATCTTGGCTATTGGTCAGCATCCATCGGAATCATACTATAAACACCTGCCAACTATGACCGTCTCGTTGTTCAGGGCATTGATCAGCGGAAGAACACTAACCTGA